ATCATACAGAGCTCACGTCACATATTGCTAATGTGTTGAAGCAACTATAGCAGGCCTCAATCTGGGGGTTGAATGGCTGACTAATACATGTTTTCCCCCACTGTATATACAGGGAGTACCAGTACCAGATCAATGTGCAGCTATATACAGGGAGTACCAGTACCAGATCAATGTGGACCTATATACAGGGAGTACCAGTACCAGATCAGGAAGATCAATGTGCAGGGTAAAGTGACTAGGCATCAGGATAGATAACATTAATCAAATAAAGAACAGAGTAGCAGCAGCATGAGGAGTGTAAAAGTGTGTGTATGTGCTTACTAAACTACTTCCTATAGTCATTTATTTGTTTAACATCTTGAGATGAGAAAATATGTTTTATCAAGTTGTGTTAACATTAGTTGAAATAAAAGTTACACTACCCAAAAGATACTCAATTGGTGGAAGGACCCACACACTCCGTCCTCAGCCCTAGGCTCAATGCCAACAAGGTCTCCACACAGCCTTACTACCCTAGGGTCAATGCCAACAAGGTATCCACACTCACTATGTCCTCTGTATGCTGTTCTACCCCACCTGTGAAAGGGTGTGATGCTCTCTTGGTTGGTAGGGGGTCCATGGCCTTCTCAGCTTTTCTCTTCCTTGGAGAAAAGGTCAGTGGAAGGCCTGTATCCTGTGGAACATTGGCCTTCATATCCATCAACACGCTTTTGAGATGTGAAGACAGGTCAGTCATGCACTGTTCATCTTGGAGATGGTAAGTGAGGTCTGTGATCTCTTTAAGATATCCTGCACATTGCTTCCTCAACTGCAACACCTTCCTAGAGGACCTCTTCTTTCCTCTTCTAGATGGACCTTCGTCTGGACGTTCAATGTTGGGGTCTCTGGTGGCCTGCTTGGTCTTAAACATGACATTTCTTATGTCACTGTCAGTCGGGTAATACCGCCTGCGAGTAGGTGGAGGGGGCTGCTCTCCACAGAAAAGCTCTTCCACTACAAAGGTGTTAAGATGACACTTCATTTCAGTCATCTTTCTCACACCAGACAGAGTCAGCTGCTCAATCTTCTCTCTCAGCCTGGCATCTACAGCTTCCCTAACATAAGCTTCCTGTTGGAGAAAGAATACATGGGTTTATCATAAAGGGGTCAGTGGGTATCTTAATCAACATTCTATTATATAGATTATATATATATATTTACCTCACCAACAACTGCATGTGAGCTATGCTCAGAGAGGGAGGGGAACCTGACGCAGTAGACAACCTCTGCCTTCACGGAGCTGGGTGTTTCACTTAGTGCTGCCTTCAGAGTTTGGGAGGCCTCCTTTTTAGAGCGCACTGTACTTTCCTCAATCTAGACATCAAATAATGTGGTATTTGTTAAATATGTACTGTTACTATGTACAGCGTTAGGCTGTTTCACAGGCTGCGTTTACACAGGCAGCGCAATTCTGATTTTTTTAGACTTTGACCAACTGTAGGCCTAGACCTTGATACTTTAAAAAAATGTACCTTAAAATCAGGAAAGCGGATAACGTGGGCGATGTTTATTATAGCCTTGCAGTCCACCTTTTTGGTATTTTGTACCAGTTTCCGTCTCTGTACAAAGGCATGGTCTTCAAGCTGAGGAAGATTATTTAAAAAATTACAAAATACATTTAGCTAATAATAATAATACATTCAACTTTTATAGTACTTTTCTAGACAGACACCTAAAGCTCTTTACAGTGTATGGGGAAACTCACCACCCTAACCCCACTTACATACTCTTGCAATAAGTGCTTTGGGATCTTTAGTGACCACAGAGTTAGGACACCCATTTAACATCCCATCTTCTTCCATTTTATTGAGGAACATTCCATTGTTAGTTAGTACTAAAACATTATTAAAATAAAATTAATGTTGTAAAAGTGTATGGTATAAATTACATTGATCCGTCTACTAACTTACTTCCTTCTTGTCCCTTTCAGCAGCATATTTCTCTTTGGCTTTTGTTTGTCTGTCTTTCCCCTGGTGGCATTCATACGTCTTTGTGCCAACAACTTGAAAGGGAACACCATTGAATGGGAGGCTTTTACTCTCCCAGCGGAGTTTTTTCTGTGCCAAAGGCTGTGCATCTGTTCAAGGTCAAGAATATGATATATTACCATTAGAATGATAGGCTTTTAGGGAAACTAAAGAAGTTCCTCTCTGGTCCTGTGCTTGGAATGGAATCTGTTATGCTAGCTAGCTAGCATCATTTTAGATGAGAGTAGCAAAAGTTAGCTACTAGTTATCAACAAAAAATAGAAGACAACTTACCCTTTTTTCCAAAACTTTTGTCCTTACTCAATGTTACGAATTTCAGTGACGTTGCCAATTCTTGTTCCCGAATGTATTTAGTTATTTCGTCCTCAAACTTGAACTCGAGATGTGCCATTTCGAAAATGCTGCGTTAGCGAAGATGTTCTTCTTCTTTGAGATTGGGTTGGCGGATCGCATCCAACTTCTATGTGCATACACCGCCACCTACTGTTCTGGAGTGTGAAGCCAAATGTTGTTGTTGTTTTGGCTGTGTATCAGCCTACTATTCTGTGGTATGAATTCATTACACCTTGTGGAAAAAATTGCCCTACCAACTAACCCGGCTCCATAGCCGTGGGAAGTAGGGGTGCTGAGGATGCTGCAATTATAAAATATTGAATATAAAATATAAAGAATATGTTCCATTCCTGCGGCAGTGCAATTGATAACCATGGCTATGAACGCTAAGAAACCAACCTTACTGAAGCACGTTATTCCTATCACTCTCGGCCTACTCACAGGGATCCTCTTAGGATCCCTCACCCTGGACCCATCTTCCTCTACTACTCTCTACACTGCCTCAGCATACAACATCTTCTGCACTACTCTGATCCTGGCATCCTCAACCTGCCTTTCTCTCACCGGACACTTGATCTCCAGCACCATGGGTCCCCTACAGTTTAAACACACAAGTCCTGCACACTTCTCACATCTAGGAATCTCCCATCCTACACACTGCTGCCACATGACCATAAGCTTGACACCTAAAACACCGTAATGGGTTTGGGACAAAAGCTCTCACGGGATAACTGACACATCCTAACTTGACTTTACCTGATAAAGACTGCATCAAAACTCAGTAGAACTATTCTCTGTTTCACCATGCTCTCCACCAGGTCTGCGTCGCACCAAAAGGCGGGCATCACAGACACCGGGAATCTTCAACTTCAGTTGACCCTCCTCAACACTTAATGCCACTAGTTATCACTCCTTTCAACAGCGCCCTGCTCCGGAGAGGAACGCAAGTCACAGTTCTTGTCGCGTGGTGCGGAGCGCATGCTCCCTCTGGATGGCAGAAACACAAAAAAATCTCCACGGTTCCACTTTGAGTCACTTTCACCGACCCAAGAACCTCCTCTTCTTCTTCTGTAGGTTTAATGGTGAACTACATCCCAAAAAGCTGTATTGGCGCCGCCAACTGGACAGGGTTGAAAATACAAGGTAAAAAGATAATCCATACGTGATGGGGGAAACTAACTTCATCCACACAACTAAAATAGTAAATCGAAAAAAAACAAAATTCATTCCATATCTCCTTACCCAGGCTCAGAGGCTGCTACCGACTGTAAAGTAGTGAACTGGAGAAACAAACACAGCGGAAAGGGAAATAAATCGACATCACCAAAAAAGACGTACAAAATGTTGTTTTATTTATATTAATTAGAACCTCTGGCATTAGGATGTAAAAAATGTATGCGTCATCACACTCCCTCATCTGATTGGTCGTTGCCCGCAAACCATAAACCGGTGTTATGATACTGATGGTATGTCAGGACCATAGACATTAAAAGGGTCCAGACTGATGGTCTGTTTACATTTCTACCGTTGTGGCTAGATGGAGTAGGCCTACAGCTCTATTTGGTGGTCGTGTCGGGGACAACCATTGTTGACAACTGTAGCATTGTAGCTAAGCCTAACCCTAACCCTTTTCCTAACCTTAACCTCATTTTTGTTTTATTAGTGTAAACGTTACTATGTCACCTTTTTGTTACACAAAAAACGTTGTTTCCTTAGTTTGTCCTGGTGGTGGGTGATTCTCTCTTTCCTTAGTGGATGATATTGTGGTGGGTGATTCTCTCTTTCATGTCTCAGGGGATGATATTGTGGTGGGTGATTCTGACCTTCCTTCCTTAGTGGATGATAGATATTGTGCCCATGCCAAACCGAGCTGGCCTGGCTTTTGGCTTAATGTCCACTCCTGGGGTCACAGCTTCAATGCTAGAGGCAGATGTTGGTGGGACTGTATTACCACAAGGCCTTGTCCCGGACATTGTCAGTCTATCAGCTGCTGGTAACAACCTTACAGACAGTCCATCGATAGATCACGCAAGAATAGAGTTTAAAGAACTCCTCCATGATGCTCTGTTGAAGTGGACTCGGGTAAATCCTTAAATATCATTACTAGTTGCATAAACACATGACTTACGTGAAATTCACAATTTCTAAGTTACTAAAACCCTGCAATGTGACTTGTAATTATTTTCTTTACATCCCATGTCGCATCGATGGGTAAAGGACCTGAAATACCAGGAGCAGCTGGAGTATGAACGCCAAGCATGGGAGCTGGGCGTGACTTACTGTACATAAGGGCTCCATCCTTCCCGCCCTCCTGCCGGAGCTTCTGGTCCCACGATAAAGTGTACCTCAGTGATGATTATGGGATGCCAATTTTGGCCATGCTGATCAAAGACACTTCGTTCGAGGAACTCCGGTGCATGGGTGCAACTGGGCCTACTTCTGCTGGGATCCAAAGTGTAACATATTTTCTCATTTTATTTATCATTTTTTTCCCTCCAGATTTTCTCTGCATTTATTATGCAAAGTCCAGTCTACAAATAAGGTGCCTAATGCAATGGAGGATCAATGGAGTGGGTGGAATAGAAAGTGTTTCTAAGCATTTACACCTCAGTCCCCCATGAAATAACACCATATACAGCGCCTTCAGAAAGTATTCACACCCCTTGACTTTTTCCTTTTTTGTTGTTGTGTTCCAGCCTGAATAAAAAAATGGATTAAATTTAGATTTTGTCACTGACCTACACACAATACCCCATAAAGTCAAAGTGGAATTATGTTTTTTGACATTTTTACAAATGAAAAGCTGAAATGTTTTGATTCAATAAGTATTCAACCCCTTTGTTATGGCAAGCCTAAATAAGTTCAAGAGTAAAACATTGGTTAACAAGTCACATAATAAGTTGCATGGACTCACTCTGTGTTTAACATTATTTTTTTAATGAGTACCTCATCTCTGTACCCCACACATACAATTATCTGTGAGGTCCCTCAGTTAAGCTGTGAATTTCAAACACATATTCAACTACAAAGACCAGTGAGATTTTCCAATACCTCGCAAAGAAAAGCACCTATTGGTAGATGGGTAAAAAAAAGCAGACATTGAATATACCTTTGAGCATGGTGAAGTTATTAATTACACTTTGGATGGTGTATCAATACACCCAGTCACTACAAAGATACAGGCGTCTTTCCTAACTCAGTTGCCAGAGAGGAAGGAAACCACTCAGAGATTTCTCTGTGAGGCCAATGGTGACTTTAAAACAGTTAAAGTTGAATGGCTGTGATAGGAGATAACAGGATGGATCAACAACATTTTAGCTACTCCACAACACTAACCTAACAGACAGAGTGAAAAGGAGAAAGCCTGTACAGAATTAAAAATATTCCATAACATGCATCCTGTTTGCAACAAGGCACTAAAGTAATACTGCAAAGAATGTGGCAAAGCAATTAACTTTTTGTCCTGAATACAAAGTGTTATGTTTGGGGCAAATCCAACACAACACATTACTGAGTACCACTCTCCATATGTTCAAGCATTGTGGTGGCTGCATCATGTTATGGGTATACTTGTAATCGTTAAGGACTGGGGAGTTTTTCCAGCATAAAAAAGAAATGGAATGGAGCTAAGCACAGGCAAAATCCTCAAAAGTATCTCCGATGGGGCTGAATGGCACCAAAGAAATCGCTAAGGATCATGGTGAAAGTGGCCGTAACGAGCAAAGGATCATGGTTGATGTAGTCGTTTTCATACTGCCTGAGGTAGTGAACCCAACCAAAGATTATGGATATACTGACTAAATACACATCTATCCACCCTAACAAATGGGAGTCATTGTCCACAAAGTGGCACAGCTTGCTGTCTAGCTCCCGCCTATCCTTTCTTTGGATTGGTGGATAAATCTCATTATTGTAATCCTTTTTTGAATATTCGATGAGGGTTATTGACGTCAACCCCCTGTATTCAATGGAGAGAGACGCTATGCTACCAGCCTCATACCATGAATATGCATAGCCATCTCGAGACAACTCTGATATAAAGTGTTTTTTATCAAAGTTGCCAGGATGTCACGTGTCCTATTTATAAAATCGGTACACTCGTAACGACTTAAGAATTACGAAACTTATATTAAATCAAATAAACCTCATGTAGCAAATAAGCCATTCATTTTTTTTGTTGACCAAGGTCCACACTCTCATTGACCTCCATACAAAAACTCATTTTTTGGTGGGCGAAACAACGGGAAAACGCCACCTGCTGGAGGGAGACAGATTTTCCGCCGACTTGAGCCTCTCTTCCTCTTTGACCCAACGCTGCTAGAGGACGTCGGGCGTCAATACCAGAAGCATTGGACATAAACAGTCGAGAACCAACCGATCACAACTCGGTTAGGATAGATTGGACTATATATAAATTATAAAAGTATTTTATCTCAATTCTGTGTTTTAATATGATTGTAGACCATCTTTATCATTTGTGCAACTGCATCATTTTGTCATCATAAAAATAACCTCAGACATACGATGTCATTTGGATTTCAACATTTATTCAATGATAATTGTATACTAAATTGATATTTCAAACATAGTGTGAGCCAATCGTCCATCTCCATGTCCATCCCCCAAAACGGCCGTCTAAATTTTGTTTCTTTGGCCGTTCTGGCGATCGTAATTTACATAGGCTTTCTAGGGCAGACCAGGGCTTTTGGCACCGCTAGGTTGCTACGTAGTAGCCGACCAGCAGAGCTCGTTACTTTCTTGGGGGACAAACGGAATGGGTGGAGTAGAAAGTGCTGCTGGCTAGTTAGACCTCAGTCCCCCAAGAAATGACATCATATATATATAGAGAGATTCTACAGACCCTACTGAGCATTCCCAACCCCACTTTTACCTCGGCACATTGTGAACATACCAGTCTGAACATTGTATGTTTTTAAATAAATAAAACATGTAAGCATATTTGTAATTGTTTTAATAAATTCCTTCTTGCATTTGCTTACAAGCACAATAAAAATTGACATTGAATAAAATGTAATATCTTTTGAATGAGTTATCCACACTGCAAAATGTTTTAAATATGGGCTTTTAAGGG